AACTGTACACAGTGACTCCCAGTTTGATAGAGACAGGAACTGTGCACAGTGACTCCCGTGAGATACAGAGACCAGAACTGTACACAGTGTCTCCCAGTGAGCTACAAAGACTGGAAGTTCTCGAGACAGCCAATGGCCTCCTGGTATTCCTGTTAGACTAGAAATACATAACCCAGGTCATGCTTCGTGCACCTGAGTTTGTATCTCAACGGGGCAAATGGTAAAAACTCCTGACTTCAAATGTCTCATGATAACCACGATAAAACTGTTGTTTATTGTCTGAAAGACCCACCCGGTTCACAAATGCCCTTCAGGGAAAGAACATTGCTGTTCCTATCTGGTCTAATGACGTCTGACTCTAGACCCACAATATCGCCTCAAATGACCTACATGTCAATCAATTGTATCAATCCAATGAAAAGGAACGAAACCTGACGAATCACTTGGAATCAACATAGATAGTAGGAGCAACAACTGCAGACTTAGGTCTGGTGGCCCTGCAAAGTGCTCCTCACTAACATTTGGGGGCGAGAGTTAAAATTGGGAGAGCTGTCTCATACAGTAGCCAAGCAACAATCTGACATAGTCATCCTCACAGAACCATATCTTCCAGACTACGTCCTTCCAGAAATTCACCAAAGATCCTCAGGCAGCATCTTCCAAACCCACGGCCACTTCCATCCAGAAGGACAAGGGGCAGCAGACACATGGGACGCCCATCCCCTGCAAGTTTCCCTCCGAGCCACTCACCATCCTGACTTGGGAAATATATTGCCGTTCCTTCAGTGTCACTGGGTCAAAATCCTGGAATTCCCTCCCTAAGGGGGCATTGTGGGTCAATCCACAACAGGAGGATTGCAGCGGTTCAAGGAGGCAGTTCACCCCCACCTTCTCAAGGGGGGCAACTAGCAATGGGCAAGAATTGCTGGGCCCAGCCAGCGATGCCCACATCCCACAAATAATGAATAGAAAAAATAACTATGTCCCTGACACCACCATTACTATCCCTGGATATGTCCTGTCCCACCGGCAGGACAGACCCAGCAGAGGGGGTGGCACAGTCGGGAGGGAATTGCTCTGGGAGTCCTCAACATTGACTCCAAACCCCATGAAGTCTCATGGCTTCAGGTTAAACATGGGCAAGGAAACCTCCCGCTGATTACCACATACCGTCCTCCCTCAGCTGATGAATCGGTGCTCCTCCATGTTGGACAACACTTAGAGGAAGCACTGAGGATGGCAAGGCCACAAAATATACTCTGGGTGGGGGATTTCAATGTCCACCACCAAGAGTGGCTCGGCAGCAATACTACTGATCGAGCTGGCTGGGTCCTAAAGGACATAGCTGCTAGACTGAGTCTGCGGCAGGTGGTGAGGGAACCAACAAGAGGGAAAAAAAAACATACTTGATCTCAGCCTTGCCAATCTGCAGAGTCAGCATGGCTTCATGAAAGGGAAATTGTGTCTGACTAATTTATTAGAGTTTTTCAAGGAAGCCTCAGCCAGAGTGGATAGAGAGGAACCAGCAGATGTCAGTTTCTACAGTTGAGGAAGCGAGAGAACTCACGAAAATAAATATTGAAGTTTTGAAAACAGTTTGCATTTTCGTAGAGTAAGTATAAAGGTCGATAAATCTTCGGAACCTGATCAAGTGCATCCCAGGACGTTGTGGGAAGTTAGGGCAGAAATTGTGGGGGCCCCAGCTGAAATACTTGTATCATCTATTTGCACGGGTGAAGTACCAGAGGACTGGAGGGTGGCTAATGTTGTGCCATGGCTTAAGAAATGAGAAACTACAAGCCTGTGAGTCTAACATTGGTGGTGCATAAATTGTTGAAGGTTATTCCGAAAGATAGGATTTTCGTGCATTTTGGAGAGGCAGGGATCGATTAGGGATGGTCAGCATGGTTTCATGCGAGGAAAATTGCACAACTTGGTTGGATTTTTTTTAATGAAGCAACAAAGAAGACTGATGATGGCAGAGTGGTCGATGTTGTTTACTTGGATTTTACTAAAGCCTTTGACAAAGTGCCACATGGCAGACTAATTATTAAAGTTAGGTCACATGGGATTCAGACTGAGCTTGCCAGTTGGATACATAATCAGCTTAATGGTAGGAGTCAAAAGGTGGTGGTGGAGGGTTGTTTATCAGACAGGAGGCCTATTACCAGTGGTATGCTGCAAGGATCGGTGCTGGGTCCACTTTTATTTCTCACTTATATAAATAATTTGGATGAGAATATAGAAGGCATGGCTAGTAAGTTTGCAGATGCACCAAAATTGGGGATGCGGTGGACAGTGAAGAAGGATATCTAAGATTACAAAGAGATCTTGATCAACTGGGTCAATGGGCTGAGAAGTGGCACATGGAGTTCAATTTGGATAAATGCGAGGTTATTGCATTTTGGTAAAAGAAGCAAGAACAGGATTTATATGACTAATGGTAGATCTGCAGGTAGTGTTGTAGAACAGAGAGGCCAAGGGGTGCAGGTACATAATTCTTTGAAATTTGCATCGCAGGTAGACAGGAGGGTTAAGAAGGCAGTTAGCACGCTTGGCTTCATTGCTCAGACCTTTGGGTATAGGAGTTGGAACGTCATTTTGTACATGATATTGGTGAGGCTCCTTCTGGAGTGCTGTGTCCAGTTCTGGTCGCCCTGTCATGGGAAGGATATTATTGAGCTGGAGAGAGTTCAGAAAAGATTTGCCAGGAAGTGCCGGGAATGGAGGGTTTGAGATATAAAAACATGACTGGAAAGACTGGGACTTTTTTCAATGGAGTTTAGGAGGTTGAGGGGTGACCTTATGGACGTCTATAAAATCATGAGGGGCACAGAAAAGGAGAATGACAATGGTCTTTTCATTAGGGTGGGGGAGTTCAAAACTAGGGAGCATATTTTTAAGGTGAGAAGAGAAAGGCATGAGGGGCAACTTTTTTAAGAGGGGTGGTTTGTGTGTGGAATGAACTTCCAGAAGAAGTGGTGGATGCGGGTACAGTTACAAGGTTTAAAAGACATTTGGATAAGTATATGAATAAGAAAGGTTTGGAGAGATGTGGGCCGGGACCAGGCGGGTGGGACTGGCTTAGTTTGGGATTATTGTCGGAGTGGGCTGTTTGTATGGAAGGGACTGTTTCCGTGCTGTATGAATCTGTGTGTTAAATTTGGACATTTGAAGGCATTTGACCAGAAATCTCACAAAAGGTTAAGCCATAAGGTAAGAGACCATGGTGTTGGAGGTAGTATATTGCATGGATAGAGAATTGGCTTATGAGCAGCCAACAGCGAGTGACCTGTTACCACAGGGATCAGTTCTGGAACCAGAACTGTTTACAGTATATAATAACTTGGAGGAAGGAGGTGAATATGCTGTTGCCAGATTTGCAGACCACACTAAAACAAGCGGAAACAACAACTTGTTTTGTCTGAGGATTGGGAGCAGTTTAGAATTCAGCAAAGAAGGAGCAAGGGATTGATTAGGAAGGGGAAAAACACAGTACGAAAGTAAGCTTGGAGGGAACATAAAGACTGACGCTAAAAGTTTCTATAGGTATGTGATGAGAAAGAGACTGGTGAAGGCAAATGTTGGTCCCCTACAGACAGAAATGGGGGAAAATATAATAGGGGACAAAGAAATGGCTGTGTAACTGAATACATACTTTGGTTCTGTCTTCACAAAACAGGACACAAATTAGACACCAGAATTGTTGGAGAGAGCAAGATTTAGTGAGAGGGAAGAATTGAGGGAAATCAATGTTAGTAGAGAAATGGTGCTCAGAAAATTGATGGGATTGAAAGCAGATAAATCCCCAGGGCCTGATAATCTACATCTCAGAATACTTAAGGAAGCAGCTTGAGAAATAGTGGATACATTGGTGGTCATCTTCCAGGATTCCATAGACTCTGGAACAGTCCCTGCAGATTGGAGGGTGGCTAATGTCACTCCAATATTCAAAAAGGGAGGTAGAGCGAAAAGAGAGTTATAGACCAGTAAGCCTAACATCGCTAAGTGGAGAAAATTATTGAATCCATTATCAAGGACTTTATCGCAGAGCATTTAGAAAGCAGTGGCAGGATCAGACAGAGTCAGCATGGATTTATGAAGGGGAAATCATGCTTGACAAATCTGTTGGAATTCTATGAAGATGTAACTATTAGAGTTGACAAGGGGGAGCCAGTCAATGTGGTATATTTGGACTTGCAGAAAGTATTTTACAAAGTCCCGCATAAGAGATTATTGTGTATACATGGAATTGGGAAGGGCACTGAGATGGATAGAAAACTGGTTGGCAGAGAGGAAACAAAGAGTAGGAATTAATGAGTCCTTTTCAAGTTAGCAGGCAGTAACTCGTGGTGTGCCACGGGGATCAATGCTGGGGGCTCAGCTATTCACAATATATATTAATGATGAGGGAACAAAATGTAACATTTCAAAGTTTGCAGATGATACCGAGTTGGGTGAGAGG